TTATTGTGCAACGATGTGGCCTCGTACAGTTTGGTGAGATGATCCCATATCTCCTTAGATGTCTTCTTCTCCTCGATGCTTGACAATACTTCATCTACTAATGCTATATGAAAGTTTGCCATAGCATTCCCGTCCATTTTGATCAATTTGTTATCATCTGTGAAATCTACCGGCCTTTCACTGATAGCTGCTAGACAACCGTCTTTCCTCAGGATGACCTTCATCTTCAATTTCCACAATGAGAAATTTATCCCATTAAATTTTTCAATATCAAATTTCGTTGCCATAGCTTCTATTACAGATAGCTCCAACAATTTCACTATCGTGAATAGTTCTCTGAAACCTTCAAAGAATGAGTAATAACTTCTTACTTTCTTATGTTGGATGATCCACCTTTTGGTGGTAACCACAAAGACAATAAGTAGATATTACACACTCTAATCTGGCTCGGATACCAATTGTTGCGGAAGACGGCTATCGAATATAGCAAAATCATAACTGATAATTTGAGAAAATAAAAATGAAGATAAAAGAGACAAAATTTACGTGGAAAATCCCTAAATAATATAGGCTAAAAACCACGACAACGGTAGAAGAATTTCACTATGAGAAAATAGGAATTACAACTTCTCTCGATCTACCAAGGAGAAAACAATGATAATTCTCTCTTGATAAAAAAAAAGAAAACAACTCTCAAGAAACTCTCTAAATTCTCTAGTATTGGAAGAAAGCTAGAATGCTTTGAGATGGTTTTGAATCTAAATGAGCTAGGGTATTTATAGTTAAAGCTTAAGGACTAATTTATAAATACCCTAAAATTTAGTGACTAAAGTGTGTAAATATACCATCCATTTTTCAACAAAAAAACAAATCACCTTTCGGTGCATTAATTGTATGCACCTTTCGGTGCTTTAGTCAACATTAACCTTTAGAATTTTGAGAGATAATTATTTCGAAGAGATGTAATTTTTTTTGGGTCATATATGTAACGTTTGGAGTATATATTACAATGATAGAATTTGTAAATATATTGAGAGAGTATTTTGAGATACATCATGTTCGAAGATATATATTGGCTTGTAAAATTAGGAATTTCATGTACTCGTGCTCATCTCTACATTTGTTATAAATTATTTATTTCTCTCACATAGACAAAACTAAACTATGTTAAATATCATTTATTACACAATATTTTATTTTATGTTGATATATTATATCTTTTTACTCCTATATCCCTAATCAGAAGCATCAAATCAATATACAATATACAATATACTATTAGGGTTTCTCTCCCAATTTTTATGGTCCACATATGATGAAACTTTCCGTGCTAGAGCATGCACCACATCATTAGACTCTCGACGAGTCCAAGCAAAAGACAAAACTTGAATTAGAGACGTTAACTTGGAACAATCATTTATAATCCTGTGAAAATTCAAATTGTTTATATCTCAACACTATATTACATTAATAACTAGCGCACAATAATTATAAGATCTAATTTTGATATCCAACATCATATTAAATGCTATAATTATTATTTAAAAAAAGTTTATTTTTCCTTGAAATATAATCTAACATGGTTTATGATGATGAATGATACATTGGTTATAGACTATAGTTTGGTTCAATGATTGTATAATCTGATTTTGATATCTAATATCATAGATGATGAACGATGGATATGGTTTCAATATATTCATGAACCAATCCAATAGGTATATACGTTAATCGAAAGTGAAAATAGATGGTTGAGATTAACAGTAAGAAATAAAAAAATATTTATTGCAAGAAAAATGAGGAGTTAATCTCAACTAGGGATGGGCATGGGACCCGAACCCGATGGATTCCGACCCGATTGGGTCGGATCGAGTTTTTTTTAAATGTGATGTTCGGGTCGGATCGGATTCATATTTAGGGTAAAAATATCCGACCCGTCCTGAAAAAAAAATATTTTACCTTATATATTTAGGAATAATTACAATAATACCCCTCTATATATTATTTCGAGTCGGGTCGGGTTTTTAAGTTATATATCGCGCTGGGTCTGGGTCTGGGTCGGGCGAAATCTTGTTTCGGTCGGGTCGGGTCAGATCTCGGGTGGAGGATTCCTTGTTCTTGGGTCGTGGTGAACCAAAAATCCGACTCAACCCGACCTATGCATATCCTTAATCTCAACTATCTATTTTCACTCACCCAATAATCTTAAATATATGTATAAAATTAAAAAAAAATTATGCAAGTGGAATCTAACTCTCTATATATACATGAGAGCATTCTTTTTCCTTCTGATTTCAATTGTTTAGCCTCATTTGTTGCTTATGCTTTTATATTCATATGGCAACTTTTTTTAAGTCAAAAAATAAAACCGCAAAGACCTTAAAAGGCGGTTTAAAGTGTGTAAGATTTAAACGTGCCGTCTTAAGAAGAAGACAAAGACATTGTCATGGCAGAATATATGCTTTCTATCACCCCCACCTAATCAACCCTCATATCCAGTGTTTTGAAAATCAGATTGGATCGGTCGGTTTAACTGGGAATCGCTGTCTAGTTCGGTTCAATCTACACCGGTTGAACTGCTACTAGTGAACCGGCCGAAACTGATGAATCGTTCGAATTAGACCGGCTGAAAATCGTAAAAACCGAAAAAAACCGCCAATTTTTTTTTTAAAAACTTAAACCAAATGACTCGTTTGTTAAACAAGCCAAGTCGAACTCGAGTATTGTTAAGCTCGACTCGAACTTGAAAACTTTAAAAGTAAGCTCAACTCGACTCAAACTCACAAGCTAAAAATTATCAAGTTCAACTCAAACTCGAAATATAATATTGAAACTTGAACTCGAAAAGACTTGAACTCAAAAAAAATTTAGAAGCTCGATTGAAGCCTAAAATTCGAACTTGATTGAAGTGAAAGAATATTTCACTCAATGCTCACCAAAAGGCTCCATGATTTTGAATGTCAAATTACTTCTATTATTTTGTTATGATTTTTTTAACCCCAAATTTATTTTTTAATTATAGTTATATAATTATATTTATTATTTAATATGTTTTATCTTAAATATTATGTTGTAGTTAATTTGAATCATTTTGTTTCACTTGATTTTACGGGTTTTAACTTATATATGTTATAACTTGCTTTGAATATGACTTGTGATATAAAAAATTATTTTTTATTAAATATTTTTGGTATTTTTATTTAATTTTTTAAATAATTATGACGTCGTTCGATTCTTCCGATCGGTCGAATCGGTTGAACCAGTGAACCGGTAGTATGGCCGGTTCGCTAACCGGTCCGGTTCTAAAAACCATGCCCATATCATCATATATTTTAGGGTTAAGGTGTAATTTATTTTGAAGAAAAAAATCAAATTGATTTTTCGTTGAATAATATATCTAAATAAATTTATATTGCACGAACTAAACGATTTTGGTGATAAAAAAATTATTGTTATTTTTTAAAATCTCGAATTCAAACACAGTAAACATCATGAGTGTGATAAAAAAAACATATTTTATTAACCAAATTATTTGCTTGATACATTTCTAATGTGTACGAGCCTATTTTGGTTTTTAATGAGAGATTTCTTTTTGAAAGTAGAGGAGTTTAATGTAATTATTTATTTATTTGTATAGTTTTGGAATCTTCCTACAATAATGGTGAAGATTTTCCACGAGTTTGACGTCTTTGGTAAAAATGAATCAGGCAGTCGGCCCAATGATTCAAACACTTTAGCTTGTACATATTTGAGTTTCCATCTATGAACAGACCACTTTGATAAAAGTTTTTTCCTTTGATTCTTCCGATATGAGATCTTGATGGATCATGTTCTCCATTAAAAAAAATCTAGAAAAGAAAGGAGCTTTGTTTCAAGGATCACAATATAAGACAGTTTTGACCAGATTCTTTTCCTTTCAGCATATCTCTTTTTCCAGATTATTGGAGTACTTGAGAAACTTGGAAGGAAAAATTTTAAAAAACACCCACATGGCTGCTGCCCGGAGCTTTGGAGGAAGAATATGGTGGGTTGAGAGTTTTATGTGCTTGCTTTTCACGGCAATGGGGGGTTCCACGTGAAAAGATAAGTGCTTCAATGTTTTTCTGCTTCTAACCACAGTAACTTGAACCAAGTTATTTAGCAGTAGAAAATAGATCAGTTTCAGCAGAACAGAAAACCCATCAGAGAAAGTAATTAAGTTGTCGAAACGAAACTTTCCCATCATATATTTCAAAAAGTAATGTTTATCCTTCTTTATGAATGACTTGTATTAAACGTCTTCTTTTGTTTCATTTTTTTGTTCATCTTTTGACGAAAAGATCATAAAATAAAAGGAATCCAATCAACCAAAATCATTACATTTCTGTGTATATACGTATACTTACATATTTATATTTACATGCGTATGCATGTACGTCTACAAAAATTAGATACTTTCAGATGAAGATGAAGTTGAATTATACCAAAAGCAAAAGGCACACAATTTAGTACTTCCTTGCTGCTTGGTACGAACAGTACAGTAAAGGAGGGGCAGTTGAGATTATCGGCCAACTAAGAAAGACCTCATTTTTTCATACCCTAATTCTAGTGTTTACTTGCATTTGAAAAAGAACAATATGAAACTTGAACCAAGTTCAAATCCCGGCCCCCTTATTGTTGGAAGGAATACCATCCAACTAAGGAATACATTTAAAATGTAGAGCGGCCATGAACACATGTTGCTATAAAGAAAAGAGTAGAAGTAATACACATGAGCTTTTCTTTTGAGGAAATATCAAAGAGAGAGATTCTGTTCAGCATTTTTCTGGTCTCTTAAATTTCTTCCCAGAAGCCCAAGCCTTAAGGCGGAATCATGAGAAGCTAACCATCTCGATAAAATATATGTAACTCAACCAAATCAATAAAATTAGAGAATATACTTCTGCATTTTCTAGTAACGAAGCCATTTCCATTTTTTCCCATTAAATAGTGGCTAAGAGCGTACAATAATGAATCTTTTCTACAAATTGTGGGTCATCTATACATTTAGAATCCAACGCAAAAGAATGGGTGTGATTCTTGCACGAATGATCTGAAACACAAATACAATCTCTTGAAAAAATGTTCTAATAATTCTATTGTGTACTACAACGGGGAAAGAATATAGTTGTTCTAAGAGTGAAACAGAATCCAGTCTTTCTTGTAATGCTATAAATGAGCCAATGGAATAATCCAGTCTTTGCTGCACTTAAGTAAAAGAAGATATTCAATTAGCAAGTATCAATGACCTACTTTTGTCAATTTCAAAACCTCAGCGCGCCCTCTCTCGCTTCTGGGAAGAGGCAGATTCCAACTCTATTCCAATCTCCAGCTCCCTCTCTATCCAGGCTTCACTGTCTACCTCGTCATCTCTAATTTCCACGCACTTAAAATTTGCAGCTCTATCACATCTTCTCCTCTTGAAGGTCTCTCGAATCCGGTCGGCATCAATCTTGCTAAAGGTATTATGAACAGATACAATCTTAACACTTGCATTCAGAGGACGTTCCTCTGTTCTTAGCCCACATTCACCTTCCCCACTGTCAACAACAGTACTTGCACCACTATCACTGGTTTGACTTGGTAAACTTTCTTTTGGACTTACTTGTTTGTTGTCACAGGCTACTGATGAAACAGTCTTAAAACTTGGGTTCTGGTCAGATTCCTCCGTTCTTGGCTGATCCTTATCGTTGCCATCCTCAACAACACTACTTGCACCAATATCATTTGCTTGATAAGGGAAAACTTGTTTCACTCTAACTTGGCTGACACAACTGTCCATAGATTTGCCAACTTTACTATTCTCAGCTCCAGCCACAAACTGACTCTGACTCTTTCCAGCTAAACAAGCAGATTGACTGGCCCTCTCATGTCTTGATGATAAAGCTCGACTCTTGTCTTGCTCTAACAACCTCACCATCTGCTGAGTGACCTCTGCAAATTTTTGGCGTAGAGTTCAAATTTTGAGCCAAAATAGTTAAGCACACATCAAAGCAATGAAAGATGATCATCCCAAATAATTTTCCTTTTCTAGGAGAAAAAGGATTAAGAACTATCATGCATGTTATGTTCAGGAGACGTTCCAATAAGCTTGTGTCATTTATATTTTTACATAATAGAAAAAACACGGGGTAAGGTTACGAAGGTGATTTGAAAAAGAAAATTCTGCATGATCAATGTGTACCACTTTCACAAATTGTAGGGAGTATATTACCACAGCCACTCTTTTAATTATCAACTATAGTTCCTGTTCATTACAAAATATAATGACCACAAGTAAGAATTAAAGCTGATACATGTGAAGCTAGGAAGATAGCCGTAGTACAAACCTTGTAATTGTTTAGGTGAAATATCAAATTCCAGCCACCATACTTTGCCCTTCTCTATAGGAAGCTTTACTTTTTGAAATTTAGCGGCAAGACACATGGAACCAGCTGCAATGTAATGGGGTTTGTATTGCAAGCACAAGGTTGTATGAAGCCTGCTAGTTCAATTCAGTTAGGTGTTTAATATCATGAAGACATAATGAAATTATCTAAAATAAGTCAACAATAGCATAAATATAGGTAGCTTTCTCATAATGAACAAATCAGCAAGTCCTCACCAATCATTAACGAAATTCCATGCCACTTTTAAGAGGTTAGGAAAAATTTCCAATTTCTTAAAAGCCGCAACAAGGGGCTTGTAAGGAAGTTCAATATCAAGATCAAAAGCAATTGCTGCCAACAAAAGCCTCTCCCCAACCAATATCAATTCCTTCTGCTTATCATAAACTTCCTGGTGGCAAAAGAGGAAATACATTAGGCAAGCATGATATGGAGAAAACACGTACTTCAGATGAGCTAGGAAAATCAACATTACTATTTGTCTGATTCTTCCTGGAGCAGAGGGATCCCGTTTATGGATAATTTCATAGCTCACAACAATAACATCCCGCAACAAGCGTGGTGTTTCCTCTATTTTGCATGCGAGAAATGTGCTTACAGTTGCAATAGTCTACAGATTTCACCAACATGTTTAGGAATGAGAAAACTAATCCCAGCAATATTTGAACAACTTAATATACACTTTCTCCTTGCTAAAAATAACCAAGTGTTCCATAAGGCAATTATCAGACATGGAAAAAACTAATAAATATCCAAAAATAAGCAATAGCATGTAATGATACTATGCTATAATCATTCATTTCTACGATGAAATCAATGGTATTCTGCTTCCAAAGAATGCGGATCATGATAATCTAACTATTTGCTCATTATTGGTCTAGCGAAAGGTAAATCACAATTGCATCATTTCACTATTAGCACCCATGGACTCAACATAAAGTTCCATGTTTAGAATGAGAAAGATGCGAGGAAGAATTAAAACAGAGTAACATAATTACAGCATCTACCTGCCAATCATTCTTTGCATGAGATTGACGCATGTAAAACCGGTGACACAGCATCATCGCACATGCTATTGCTACTTGAGGCCTGCAAGTAAATTTGTCAATCGCCTTAACAAATTGTTACACATAGTCACATACTAAAACACAAAATGAAAGTTAATGCTTCAACAGCAATATGAGAAACAACCACAAAACTGCCAAACTAAGGACTAAATAGTGATATAGGAATGTGATTAACATCTCATTAAGTCAGAGTAAAGAACTTCAAATAGACGTAGTCCCTGCACTTAACACTTTAAGCTTCATTCCAAGCTCTTGAAGAAACGAACAATACGACTTACGAAACTGCTCCTCTCTTCCAAGTTCGATTCCGTCCTTCCTAGATGGAGAATGATACTCAATTTCCTCTCGGCTGAAATACCACTTGCGTGTAGATGAATGAGGCTCCTCTGATAAACACATTATAGCTGCACAGGCCAAATCCATGTGCAGCTGTTTTGCCAGACTACAATAAAAGTATAACGAGCCGCTCAATAAAAGCAATGATACTATCATAATTTAACGACTTTCTATTAAACTGAGGGAAGCGAAGTAAAATTAAAACGTCAAAACAACATAACAAGACAGCAACTAAAATATCAATAAAATCCATACCGCAATCAATAATTAGAAGAAATAATCTGTGGTACTTGAGAGGGTTCTTTTGACCAAAAAGGAAAGGGTTTCAGTTATAGAGAGAAATTAAACAACCCCTTCAGAGAAATTAAACAACCCTTCAAGGAAATTAAAGTTCTCATCCCGAATTATCCTAATATTTAATGAACTGTGGCCAAAATTAGAAAAAGGGGGGGAGAAGACTAGAGGGAGGGAGGGAGGGAGAGAGAGCAACTAACAAATCTAATTCAAATTCTTTTGAAATTCTCAGCCGGAGGAGAAAATTTCCAATTTGGGTTAAAATAACAAACATAATTAAAATTAACGCAAAACACAACGAATTAAGCAATAAAGTAATCTGGGAAAATGGAAATTAGAAAAAGAAACAGATAAAGTGAGGGAAAAAAAGGAAGAATTACCTGAGGAAGGTTTTATTAAAAAGATAAGGTAATTTTGGTACCGTTTCTGTGAACAGTAAAACCCTAAATTCCGTTGCCTTTGAACTTGAAACTCAGCTGTTTGTTTGGTTTTCAGGCAAAATTATTTACAGAGTTGACTCCAGTTTTTAAGTCTTCTTTTTCCTTTTTTTTCTGTTTAATAATAAAAGCGTCGCTTCTCAGCTAAGTATGCGCGTGAAGTATGTTATCTGAGCGCGTCCAGCTGGTTTCCAAGTTGGAATCTAATACTATAATATTCTGATTCTAAATTCTACTCGCCTAAGGCTATCGCGTGCATCCCGTTAAACTGAATTCTTCAATAAATTCCGGGTAAATTACTTAAATAGCTCTACTTTTAGAGAATTAACGTTTTGGTCACCTAAAACTACATATTTATGAATCAATAAGGAAAAATTACAATGAAACAACATATTTTTTTAATCATGTGATAATATGAAAAATTTAAGTGACTAAATTAAAAAAGTTTTTTTGTGACTAAAATATTAGCACCCTAAAAGTTAAATGAACAGTAGGCAGTTTACCACGAATTTTCATATCATTTACCAAGAAAAATGTTACTACATAAAAAGTTAGGATAAACTACACTGAAGATAACTAGTAGTTTGCGTATGTCTTATCTTGATCAATAGTTTTGAGAAAAAGTAATATTTCAGTCGTTTATATTTTTTTTATTTGTTATATTTTGACTATTGAATCGTTAATTTTTGTTACTTTAATATATTACACTTTAATAAATAAAAAGTTAATTTTTAATTTAAATCCTGCAAAAAAATGATTTTTAATTTGACTCTTCAACTTTTGAAAGTTTATTTTTTCTATTATCTTCAAAAACCATTAAAAACTCTTAAATTTATTTTATTCTCTCAAAAGTCAAAACCTTGGTTGTCTGACATCACTTCTTAGTTCTTACCAACGAAAGCTTGGATTGAGATTTGATAGCCTTCATTCTCCTTTTCTCATCTTTCGAATCTGATTTCTCTTTCTCTTTTGTTTGGTTATGTAGAAAATACGATAAAATCCAAAGTTTCAGCATCAATGGTGTGGATGAATATCTCATTTTCACAACCTTCCATTACTAGGTTTCAAACGTTGTTGATGAACTTGGGGTTGAAATAGAGTATTCACAATCCGCCAATCATAACTGCAAAACACAGTGACAATGACAAGCCTTCCGTTGTGTAATGACGCCTAATTAAATATACGATCTTTTTTAAAGTTTGATGATTGGAAATTATTTTAGGGTATAATATATAAATGATCCATCTACTACAGGATGATATTTTTTAGTATTATGACTATTAAAAGTTACAAATGGTCACTCGACTATTCATATATTTCAAACTCGTATTTTTTTTAAAAAAAATTGACGATCGAGCTGGACGTAAAACTGATGAATGAGATATGATAAAATCATATTTTAATGATGTCTACATGCACTGTGGTTGCTTTCAAACACTGACTTACCAACATAATATTTCAAGCACTAGCTTGACGATATGATGTATACAGAGAGTCAATCCATAACATATATCTCAAACGATTATAGAATCTGATATCAGATTTTATCATATCATATTCAACATGTTAACGTCCAACTCAGATAACCATTAATTTTTTGATGGAAAATGACGATTTTGGAACATATAAATACCCGAATGATCATTTTATAACTTTTAATAGTATGTAGACTCAACAGAGCATCATCATATAGTCAGGAGACCATTTTGTAACTTTTATTAGCCAAGAAACTTAACGAAAGATCATCAATCGATAAATCATTTATGTACTTTATCTAATACTTTGATTATTATTTTATTGGGGATTCATATCCCATTTAGTTTGATTTGTCGGATTTAACTAAATTCCTTTATGAGAATTAATCGATAATTGAATGTGTGAATTTTTAAAATATGGATTAATTTGATAAGATGAGGAAAGAAGTGCTTTGAATGATATACATGATTTATTTTTAAGATCATATTATATGATATATGATATTAATAATAATAATAATTTATCAATTTGATCTTATTTTAAAATAATTTACTAAATTTAATAGTTAATATTTAAAAATTATATCAATTTTCTTCTAAATTAATTGTTATTCCCTTATAATTATTTATATTACTTTCTTGATAATAATAGTTTAATAATAATTTGTTGATGCTTTATGAAATAATATAATTATTTAATTATTGTTTTGATCTGATGAATTTGGTTAGTTTGATAATATCCTGGAAAAGATTATATTAGTAAAAAAAATGAGTGATTAAATTTATTTAATTTTGGTGTAGTTTAACAAAATATTTTTTTGAATTAATCACTGGTATCCGATCTATTAACCGACTAATTCAGATCGAGTACTGCAGAGGCGAGAGCGACTCTCCCAACCCAGTTTGTTCGATTCGCAAACGTCAGAATTCGAATCACTGGCCTTACTTAAGAGGTCTAGTGTCTCATCCCACTAAACCAATTGATTGTTGGTATACCAAAATATTTAATTTTACTGATACACTAACTTTAGGACTCGTTCGTTCTTTTTGGTGTCACAGTCGAATATTCTTGGCACAGAGGAGTCCAACAAAAGGTATTTTGAAATATAACGTCATGAACTCAAAGAATGAAATTAGTGATAAATGGTGAAATATTCTAACGTGATTTGAGTTTAAATTATTTTTTATTTTCTTTTATTGTCTTCCATGTTTTTAAGGTTTTATTTTGATTAATATTAGATCAACATGGGTCACACATCTTGATGTGGTAGGTAAATTTTCCAGCGAGAATTTTATGCATATACAATGACTAGAACTCTAGATTTGCTTAAGCGATATTAATCTGTTTGTCACTTGAACCAACTCCGTTGATAAAATTATTTTATTTTAAAAAAATATGATATATATTAAATTGTAACTGAAATTAGTTTTATTTATTTTATAAATAATATTATAAAAAGGAATATTTATAAATATTATAAGATTTTATTATAAAATTCATATATAAAAGCAATACATTTATATTATAAATAATATTATTTTTAATTAAATTATGAATGATATTTTTAAATTATATCATAAATATTATAAAATATATCATAAAATTAATTTTAATTATATTTATTTTTGTTAAAATCATAATAAGATTTCATATTAACTTAATGAATAAATATTAGATTTTTATAAAAAATGTTAGTGTTATATATATATATATATTAATTTTTAAATAAAATAATATTATTTTAGATCATTTTAGACATTAAAAAGATCACATTAGAAATTATAGAACGATGTGATTTTGATTTAAAATTTATATTGATATAATAATAAAATAATTACTTATATCATTATGTTATTTCTAAACTAATAATTTAATATATTTAAAGTTTAAATTAAAATTTATTAGATTAATATTTAATAATAAAATTTAAGTTTAAATTAAAATTAAAATTTAATATTAGAATTATATTAATTTAAAATTTAATAATAAAATCCATTAAATTTTGATATTTAATTGTATTTGACATAATTTACCATTTAATCTAATAGGCAAAACTTTCGAGATAATGTTCTGGAAAAAATTAATTCACGAGATAAAGCACTCCCAAGATTAATTGCTCAAATAAGGTGAAATCCACAGTGTTGGCCGTAGGTCGCCATGCCTTCCGGGCGACCTACTAGGTCACCATGTCTTCCCGGTGAACTACAAGAGATTGCATGTGCCATGCACGTCCCAACACGCTGGGCATCCGAGGCCATCTGAGAGCATCTGAGGCCATCCAAGAGCATCCGAGGCCATCCGACCGAGGTCATCCGAACGAGTTATCCGAGGGCAACCGAGCGAGCTATGCGAGGGAATCCGAGGGCAGTCGAGCGAGGGTAGGTCGCCCGGAGTGCATGGCGACCTACAAGGTCGCCCGGAGGGCATGACAACCTACAAGGTTGCCCTGAGGGCATGACGACCTACAAGGACGTGCATGTGCCATGCAACAAGTTCATTCTCTCTGTTTGAGCAAGGGTAGGTCGCCCGAAGTGCATGGCGACCTACAAGGTCGCCCGGAGTGCATGGCGACCTATGACCACACTGTTGATTTCACTATATTTCAGCAAATAATATAGGGAGTGCATTAGATCGTGAATTATTTATTTTGAGTGCGTTATATCGTGAGTTTAGCCAATTTAATAAAAAGCTCGCTTACTTGGCTTTGCCAATGCTACGGCGGGTCCCCATTCAACATGGTCAGGGGAACACATACCCAAAATCCAGACTGTTGTAAACATTGAACAAAAAATTAAATTAAGAAGCATATCATAAAATTAAAATATAAAATTAAATAAAACACAATAATTTGTTTTGTTTCGTCGTTGTTCTGATCGGATGGCGATGAATTAACGAATCTTTCGCTTTGAAAAGATCCCAACCAACCGCATCGTCATCGTTGACAAAAGATAGTTGCATTATAAAGTTCCTCTTTTCCCTCTGAATATTCGACACCCTGAAGACTTCAGTTTTGAGCTCGGCGTGAATTTACATAGTCGGGATCGACTTCTCTCTGCTCAAAATCCAACCTTGACGTTGTTTAAATTAGGGTTTCTTCGGAGCTAATTGAGCTTTAGTTTTCCCCTTTTTTGTTTTTAAGAAAATTTGTAATAAATTCGGAGGTGGATTGGTCGATAGTATCAGTTGTGATGCTTCTGTATCGCGGGAAATTTTGAAACTCAGTTCTTCTGGAATAAAGAAGAACCGATAAGATTTTTTTTTTTACCAAAACAGGTATTATTTCAGGATCTCACTCTGTTTAGTTATTTCCTCTTTTTTCATATATATATATATATATATATATATATATATTAAAAAAAATTCCTTTAATTGTATGATAAAGCGGACCGCCTTCCACTCGATTAGTATATTAATCATTAACAAAGTGAAAACAAAATAGGAACTTGTTTTTCTGCTTATTCAGAACAGTTTTGTTCACACTAGAATTGCGATAGTAATTCAATTAGTTCTCTTTCCTCTTTCAAAATTTTTGGTTAAGTCAGGAAAATGGCAACTCCAGTTGAGCCTCCAAATGGTGTTCATTACCAAGGAAAACATTACTATTCCATGTGGCAAACGTTGTTCGAAATCGACACCAAATATGTGCCCATCAAACCTATTGGAAGAGGCGCATATGGGATCGTTTGCTCCTCTGTGAATCGAGAAACCAACGAGAAAGTTGCCATTAAAAAGATACACAATGCCTTTGACAATCGTGTTGATGCTCTGAGAACACTGCGTGAATTGAAGCTTCTCAGGCATCTTAAACATGAAAATGTGATTGCTTTGAAAGATGTCATGATGCCGACTCATAGGAGAAGCTTCAAGGATGTTTATCTGGTTTATGAGCTTATGGATACCGATTTGCATCAAATCATTAAGTCTCCTCAAGTGCTTACCAATGATCACTGTCAGTATTTCCTCTTCCAGGTATCTACCAATCCCTTTGCAAAGGCACAGATTAGTTGATTTGGTTAATATGCATAACTTCTCTTGCTAGGTGGCATTACATTATTTACATTTAAGTTGAACAAAGTTCATATAGATGAGTGAGAAACTAAGGAGTTCCAATTCCAAATGCTTGTGCTTACCGCCTAGATAGTTTGTTGTGGGTGTATTAATAGAACACTCCTTGATATCAACTTTACATCAAAGTATAAACCATTGTATTTCGTTAAATGAGGATTAGACAAAGATGCGATAAATTGAATTGTTGAATTTTGAATCTGCATATTCGCAAAATGGATGCCATGTTGTATATTTTTGTGTTGCTACTAACAATAACATTTGATGATTTATGTTATACTGGCATTTACTAGTTTAGATGTTTTATGTCTGGACTACATGGAATGTTGACCTTATTCTTAGCACCTGATTGAACCATTGGTGGATGAAAACGTTTGTTTCAGCTAATTGATCTCTGATGCTTTAACATGACTAGGTAACAGTTAACAATTAGGGATTGGAGTTCGCTAATGGTAGGTTTAGGGAGAAACATGTGCTAGGCATTCAAGCATTCAGGCATTAATGCAGTGGCTTATATTGCAAGTGTAGTTAGTTATTCACTAATGGATCTGGTATGGTTATGCATCGGCAAGCTTTATGCAAATTAATATTGGCGTACTATTCTTCATTAATTATTTCTTAGGAAGCCTATCCCATTTAGCTGCATCTCTGATCTGTCTGACTGCCACTTTTCAAAGTCATTTGGATGTAAAGAGATTTCAGTGTATATAGCATGAATTTTATATAGTACTTCGGTTGAGATAATTATGTTGGGATTGTGCTTCTGTATTCTGCATTAAAGCTTCTATTGTAACTTGGAAATGATCAAATATTACAAAATTCTGTACTTTTGGGGGTTGTAATTCATTATTCTTCTTGCAGTTGCTTCGAGGCCTAAAATATCTTCACTCAGCAAATATTCTCCACCGAGACTTGAAGCCTGGAAACCTTCTTATCAATGCAAATTGTGACCTTAAAATTTGTGACTTTGGACTGGCTCGCACTAGCAATGCCAAGGGTCAATTCATGACAGAGTATGTTGTCACTCGCTGGTACAGGGCCCCTGAGCTTCTCCTCTGCTGCGACAACTATGGAACATCTATTGATGTTTGGTCTGTTGGATGCATCTTTGCGGAGCTTCTTGGCCGGAAACCCATCTTCCCCGGCACAGAGTGTCTCAATCAACTTAAACTGATCATCAACATCCTTGGCAGCCAGAAGGAGGAGGATCTTGAATTTATTGATAACCCCAAGGCAAGGAAATACATCAAATCACTTCCATATTCCCTTGGAAGCTCCTTTTCCCATCTTTATCCGAATGCCCATCCTTTGGCAATTGATTTACTGCAAAAGATGCTTTTTTTGACCCTTAAAGAAGGATTAGTGTAACTGAAGCGCTCCAACACCCTTATATGGCACCATTGTATGATCCAAACTCTAATCCTCCAGCCCAGGTGCCACTTGATCTTGACATAGATGAGGATTTAGGGGAAGAGATGATCAGAGAGACGATGTGGAAGGAAATGCTTCATTACCATCCCGAAGTTGCAACAGTCGATGGCAGAGTGTGCGTCTAATCTATTTTTCTTCCACTTGGTTCAGTAGTCAAGTCAATGACAACGTCTTACTGCTGATGAGCCTGGTTTTTCTTTGTGATGTTAGATGCTATATTTATGTATTCGGAACTTATTATATATTTCCCATAATGTTGAAAAACATATATGATGTGTTAGTTGTCAGTTGGGGACCATATCATGTAAACTAAATTTTGCGTCAAGAGCTTGAGCTTCTTTTAGTGCTCAAGCTCTTAACTGTAGAAGTTCTGTTTCCTTTACAAACTTGTATAGAAGGGTGCTGTTGTATGTATCTAACAGATGTAAATTATTCTTAGAGATCGATAACTACTATTATGAGCTGTGTAGTTTGTATGGAAGAACAAAAAACTGCTTCCTCGTTGGGTAGTTGATTTTTCACCTGCTGATTCTCAAATGCTCGCTTATGCTTCTGGCTCCGAGAAGCATGGTTGAAGGGGATTTGGGCAATGAACGTATGCAACATTATGTATACAAATATATTCAGTGTTGGCTTAGTATTATCTTCCATTTCCATTTCCATTTCCATTTCCATTTATCTGTAATCTAAAGCCCAACTGTTTTATCTAACGAGAAAGGGTGCATCTTTTTAAATAATGAAGCCCGCATAAATTATAATTAGTATCACATATACCGGAGCCGATCGGAAAGAAGAAAAAAAAAGTGGCCATATCTGTTTTCAGATTTTGTACAGAAAGCCCTTAGATGGAGATGGGTCCACCTTTGATTCGCTGGTCTCTTTCCACACCCTGCTTGGCTTTTGTTGTGTTACATTAAACTCCATGACAGGGCCAACTTTTTTTAACCTTATGACCCACCATCCACCTTTCTCTTTTTTCTTACGAGGGGGGCCACGTCCTATGAAGTTTGTCCTGAAACAAATGCTCCACTGAATCTAATCTCCGAAATCCAAATGATGAATTTTCCAAAAACATAAAATTGTTCGTCAGTAAAGCTTCATGTGTCATACAATACTTTTGAGTGTCTCTCGATTTTTGGTTACTGGTGTATCATATATACTTTGCTTATTTGAAAATAATGTGAAAAACTTAGTTACTGTTAAAGATTATGTAGCGGATAATGGTGTGTTGACTCACGAATATATCTTTGAAGTATTTTCTTTTTTCCCTGGGAGAATTAGTTCTCTGTGGCTCTGTTTGCCACTTGGAAGAGCTGAATTAAGTAAATATAGAACCACTACAAAAAAAGCATCAACCATCTAATTGATTGATTGATATAATGATACTCCCTTTCTAACTTGTCTACACGAATCTTCTTTAAAACCCCTTATTCTTTAGTAGTGCTAGCAGGAGCAAATCAAATCACAGATGCTCTGGGCAAGCTTATGTGAACCTTTGAATTAATATCTTCTATGGGAATTTATTAGGCAATATGAATCGGATGCAGTTGTGATAATATTGAACTGTAAAAAGGGTATAGTTTATGGATTCCTTGTAAGCTTTTGGAACTGGAACCCCATTTTATCATGTAATATTCACATGGCTATATATATTATTATTGAAGAAACAGCAGTTGGACTACATTGACGTGTCTTTTGGGTTTGGAATTGTTGAGAAAAATAAAAAATTCTGTTTAAATGAACAAAATGCCTTATATTTCTCATATGCAAACCACGTATATATGGACAATACAAAATCCCTAGATTCTTATAAACCAATGCACTAGCCATACGGTTATAACAAACCTCCTGGAACCATCTTCTAGCTCAGCTACTATTGTGCAAGCATATCCATTATCAATGATTAACATTCTCCCTACTTTCCATGACTTCAAGAGCTCTGTCCGAGACCTTTATCTTGTGGCAAAATGAGAAAAAATAAGCACGTGAGAGGGGTTTGGTAAGACCATCCGCCTGTCGATGATAGGCAGGAACATAGTTGATGCAAACTGTGCCAATTCCAACCTTTTCCCGAACAAAATGAAGATCTAATTCAATATATTTTGAACGAGAGTGAAACACCAAATTGACACTCATTGCAATTGCGCTTGTGTTATCTCTCCATACAACGGGAGTGTTGGTTCATGACATACCCATGTCCTCTAATAATACCTCAATCCAAGTAATATCAGCAACAACATCAGCAATGCCACGGTATTCGACCTCCGTGGTCGAGCTAGACACCGAACGTTGGCGTTTAGACCCTCATTAAACAAGATTACCATCAAGAAAAACACAATCTTGAAATTGAGCGTCGATCATCAACATTGCTTGCCCAATCAACATCACAAAAGCTTCCAAGTTGAACCCCAATCATGACTTTCGAAAAACCAAACCAAAGCCAAGTGTACCACTCAAGTAACGCAAGATACGTTTTACAGCGACCCAATGATGCTCTCGTGGATCATGCATATATTGAGTGACTTTGTTGACACTAAAAGCAATATTAGGACAATTGTGATTCAAGTACAAAAGATCTCCAACAATGCTCATGTATAGTTAAGGATTTGATAACGGACTTCCTCTATCGTTGTAAAGCTTTGGAGCCACAACCATTAGAGTAAGAACATGATGTGCACCTCGCATACCCGTCCTGTCAAGCATTTCAAGGATAAATTTGTGTTGCGTAAAACAATAGCGTTAGTATCACGAGAAACTTCCAAACCCAAGAAAAAATTTAAATATCCCAACTATTTTAGAGAGAACTCATGCCCCAACAAAGATACGACTTGTTCCACATCATCAATATTATGCCCTGTGACAATAATATCATCCACATATACTAGAACATAAATCGAGCAATCACCATTTCACCGAATAAACAAGGAAGCATCAGCTTGTGTCCCGCGAAATCCAATGTGAATGAGAAATGAACGTAACTTAGCATACTAACTACGAGGTGCATGTTTAAGACCGTATAACGCTTTATCAAGTTTGCACACCAATTGTTTACCATCGGAAGAATGTTGTTCAAATCCAGGAGGTTGAACCATGAAGATCTCCTCATGAAGTTTTCCATTAAGGAAAACGTTATTAATGTCAACTTGGCGTAGTTTCCATCCATGCATGACCGAAAGAGACAAAACCACCTTGACATTATATGGCTTAATAACCGGACTGGAAGTGTCATGAAAGTCTTAGCCGGGAACTTGTGCAAAGCCTTTCGCCACCAACCGATCTTTATGCTTAGCTATCGACTCATCCACATTTTTCTTAATGCGAAACAACCACTTACACCCGATAACAGTCCTACCCGAAGGTAACGAAATAAGATGCCATGTGTCATTGCGAACCAAGGCATCGTACTCCTCCAAGACAACAACTTTCCAAGTAGAAGAGATCAACGACTGATGAAACATGATGGGTTCATCACTATCTAGCAAGACTTGAACATTGAAAACTTTTGGCTTTTAGATTCCAGCTTTGCTTATAGTGACTATCGAGTGAGCATTAGAAGGTAAAGGAGGAGTAATACTGGCATTAAGTATATCATTTGGCGATTGTGAATCATCATTATTTGTCACATCAGTTTGCACGGTGGGAGTAGGTTGTCTAGGGGAATAATCGAGGGGAATATCACCCACCATGACTACAGTCGGAGCAGTAGACGATGAAGAAGAATCTGCCAAGAGATTAGCATAATTATTCGAAGATTGTAATGAAGGCTCTTGATTACGTAAAACTGATGCAGTACCAGGTACCACATCAATGGTGGTGTAAGAAAGAGAGCAGCCTAAAGAAGAACGTGTCAAATATGAATTCTACCCTGCAAAAGGAAACATTGATTCATTAAATTTTACGTGTCGAGAGATATAAATCCGATCATTCGACGCCATACACAAGCATCTGTCATGCTGCACACTATAGCCAATAAATGTGCATGCTTGTGATCGAAAGATGAGCTTGTGTAATTCGAACAGACGAAGGCAAGGAAAATATTTACATCCAAATACTTGTAAATGCTCATAGGACTGATTTTCCCAAATAGCTTCAAGAATGAAGATGAATTTTGAAGAACCTGGGTAGGCATCCAATTGATTAAAATCACAGCCGTCATCATAATATATGGCCAAAATTTTAATGGTAAGGAGGCTTGAGCTAATAATGTCAGTGTCGTTTCGACGAAATATCGTGTTTACTTTCAACAACACCATTTTGTTGAGAAGTGTGAGGGCATGTGAGTCGATGTCGGATTCCTTCCTCCTGAAGCACCTTAGTGAATGGTTGAAATTCAACACTCCAATCACTTTGAACATCCTTAATTTCCTTGCCAAATTGCACCCGAACCATCCGCTGAAACAATCAAAAAGCATACAAAGCTTGAGATTTTTCTTTCAACAAATAAACCCAAGAGTACCTTGTACAAGCATCAACAAATGATACATAATAGCAATACCTATTGGATGTAACATGCAAAGGACCCCATAAATCAGTAAAAATTAAGTGAAAGGGATCGACATAAAGGGTGTGAGGAGAAGAAAATGGAAAAGCATGACTCTTCTCATATTGACAAGCATAATAAATCGTGATATCATTAGTTAAGGTGGCATCATCATTACAATTTCTACACACAACAAGTACAATATCAAGACTAGGGTGCCCTAAATGTCTATGCCATAACCCAACATCAACAACACCATGAGCAACATTACATTCAACACGAATATTATTATGCAAAAAATGAGAATCAAACTCATAAAGTCCATCCGTCTCACGTCCTTCAAGTAAGATCGTATTCGAATTATCATCCTGAATTACGCATCTATGAGCATGAAATTCAAGAAAAACGTGATTATCTTTAACAAGAGTAGAAAATGAGACCAAATTTCGTGAAATATGTGGAACATGAAAAAGATTGTTCAAATGTAAAGTGCGACTAAAAGTAATCAAATCAGATTGACCAATTTTAGAGATTCACAAACCATTACCATCACCAACAACAAGCTTACACGTTCCAGTGTATTCTGCACCTCCAATAACATTGGAAGCTTTAGAAGTTATGTGATATGGCTCCAGAGTCCACAAACCATTTCCCATCCGATTTCGATGCATATTGAGCAACCATGATAGAGGAGTTACCACCCCATACTCCAGAATGACCACAACCACAAGAAAAATTTGGCACAAAAGAACATAATTGAGCAGAGGGAACACGAGTCATATTAGAAGAAGGACGATCATTAGGTGAAGCACGTTGAAAATTCTGGTCAAATCGATACCAACATCTATCGACCAAGTGACAAACCTTGCCACGAAGCTAGCACTGGATCCTTGGTTTGTCACGACCACGACATGTCTGTTACAACGA